GAAAGCAACAATTTAAAATAAGTAACACTGAAAAGGCCATTTCTGCGTTCACAGAGAATATAGTCTTTAGGTGGGCTCGTGATAAAATAAATTTACAATATGCTAATTCCACCTGGAGTATCGTGGAAGAATAAACCTCCTCTTTCACCTTCAATGCTCGAAATAATCTTGCTATAAACCCAGTTGGTCCTGCATCAGTTTGTGTTCTTTATCAATTATATACACCGTCATTTCCTCGATGTCATAGCAGATCTCCCGCATATAAATCAATTGCAAGATTGTTTGCTGCCTGCTCAGGTTGAGGTAGGCCAAATATAGAAATTCCTTGGCCTCCCATAGCTTGCACTTGGATGTCTAGGCCAACTAATCCGTCACTGTAGATGGCATCATTAAACATGGCAATTTCTGCTGAGGTTTACCTTTGAATCCTTCGGAGGATGTCCGGTACCATGCTGGTTTTGTGGGTCGCCCAAAATTTTGAGAGGCTTACCCAAGCCACAAGTTATCATTCATGATGGAAAATAGCTGACGCAGTTGATTTGGTGCTCTGCTGACTGCTGTCTCCTCCAGTGTCTGGCTCTAGTGGACATCGTCATCCAGTAATCCATTTTTGGCGCAGGCTTCGATATAGGTCGTACAGACTTCTCCCCTATATCTTCGCAGGTGTGGGAATAATGTAGGACCAGTGTGCAGCTGCAAACGCAGAAAGAAGCACTGCTGATTGGGGTGCATATTGGCTAAGATACAAAGACAAATTGTCTGCTGTCAATATACCACATAACACCCTCGAGCGCTTAGCTTTGGGGCGGGTAGAATGGAGATGAACGTGTTTTAGTGGACTCAATCTGCTTGTCTGAATCGTCTTTAAGAAGCAAGATCTAAAAGGTCAGCCAATCTAACAGTGATCTCATCCCACAATACTTGCTCCATAAGCGGCCTCCTTTGTAAATCACTTACCGGTTTTAAGTGCCACTTAAGATTATCGCACAAAATTTCATAACTGAATGAATCTATCTATCTATCTATCTATCTATCTATCTATCTATCTATCTATCTATGTCTGTTTTTATCTATCTACCTATCTATCTATTTTAATCCAATTTCTATAACTACCTATCTACCTCGGTCTGTTCATTATATATATATATATATATATATATATATATATATATATATCCATTATTATTATTAGTAGTATATATGTTAGTGTGTGAGAGTGTGTTCGCGCGTGCGTATACTGAAATATTTTTAATATACGGGGGTCGGTTGGGGTGTGGTTCAAACAAGAATTGTAGCCTTGAAGATCCAGTGAAGTAATTTCTACATGGACAGGCGAAAGTGAATGCGTTTCAGCAAGAAGTACATTTACTTTCCCTGTTAACAATTCGACACTGTGCTTCTTATCATTCCAGTGAACGGAAAATAGGTTTGTCTTTGTTTTCTATCGACTGTCAAAAAACACACACACACACACACACACACACACACACACACACACACACACACACACACACACACACACATCACGTCTTATATTCGCTTCGGCCTTATGGCGATGGAAAGCCTCGTCTTTCAAGAATTGTAAATACGCAATCGCGCACATATACATACAAAGACGATAAAGTGTTGCATTATTTTAAAATAGATATGAAGTGACGAAGATAGATAGGAACAAGTTCATATATATATATATATATATATATATATATATATATATATATGATAAAAATATATATTTATGGTATGCTATATTTATGGGTAAAAGTAGGTACCTCCCAAAATTCTCTAAAACCAGCACATAATGTTGAAAAAGGCCTCAAATTTGATAAAAATAATGTTTTATTGTCAAAATATTTTTGTAATTATTAAGAGGAAATACCAAAGTATTTCTAACTTATTTTATTAAATGTTTAATTCTTTCTAGCATGTTCGGAAATTTTGGTTAAAAATATTTTTTTATTACGTCAGCTGGTGAACTAAATATTACTGTCTTTTCACGGTAAAAAGACACATCGTTTTGGGAATTCTTGCAAAAATCAAATAATTGCAAAATATTAATGAAATTCTCAGACGTTATTCAGTAATGAATGAAACAATTTTTGAAAAAAAATGTTAAAGTTTCCGTAAAACTATTTTTTTACATCTGTTACTCTCAACTTAATTTTATGAGATTTCGAGAAATTAAAATTTCAGGGTTTTCATGTTTATGTTAGTTAAAAAGCAGGACTATTTGGAGAATTTAAATCATCAATTTGTTTTCATCAAACAGAAACACCATTTATCGAAGAATAAATTTTATTTTACAATCTGAATCGTAAAATAAAAAAATGCAATAAAATTATGACATAATTTAATTAGAAAAGTTTTTAATTGATTTTATAAAAAAGATATATTAAGGACACTATTGAATTAAGAAAACATTTTTTTCGATGACTAATGCATTTTTACAAGAACTGTTTCATTTTTTTTCATAATTTTAATTATGAAAAATTAATTAATTTTTAAGTCTTTTATAATTCTGTATTAATTTCAGCAGTTTATTATTGTAAAGTGAAAATTATATTAACTATTCATACATGGAAAAGTTTAATACAAATCATGAAACACCAATATTTTAAAAATAATTTTTGATTTTTTTTATTAGTCGAAATCGTGCCGATTTTTGTAAGTACGGGCGACCATACATGACAGTATCAGAAAATAAGAGCGAAAGTTATAATAAATTTAAAGCCAACATTTCTATAATTCAATAAACATTAGATTACGGAGAATATTTTCCTAAATTACTAAGACTATTGAGTACTTAAAAATTAAATAAAAAAAAGGCGTCCACATCGTTTTCTTCAGTTATGTATGACAGATAAAGTCTCCATAGAACAATATTAGATCTGTCACCACCTTCTCAAACACAATACAGTTACTATCGATTAAAGACACGGCTACTGCTCGCTTGAAAAAATACATTTCTGTGATATTTTATAATTAAGACAAATAATATTTGTTCCAAATCAGATTAATTATACTTTAAATCAGCTAATATTCCTCAAATAAAGATTCAGAAAAGTATATGTTGTTTTTGAAAGATTTCTAATAAAGAGAATTACGTGAACGCTATACATAGAGCTAAAATCAGCTATTTTAGCAATTTCAAAACGAAAACTCTTTCCAGTCAATTTTAAGTAGTTTTCAAACACAGAAAAAGTATTTATTCGAAATATTAAGCTGAATCTAAGCTTGAAATTCAAACTAAAATAAAATCTTCAAGTAAGGTTTTTCATTTTTAAAAATTCATTTTAAAACTTGGCGATGGTAAAGTTTGCTGTCCGTCCGTATTTTAAAAAATCGGCACGTGTACACACACACACACACACACACACACACACACACACACACACACACACACACACACACACTATTCAATTCTTTTAGAAATAGGTCAAGAGAAGAAAAGTGAGGCTGTCAATACCTTAAATAAACAGCTACAGGCGTCTTAAAAAATAAATTCCTGCGATATTTTAATCTTAAACCAATATATGTTTCAAATCATATTAACTCTAAAACAGCCGCTATTCCTCAAATAAAGTTTCAGAAAAGTATATTTTATTTGTGGGAGATTTTTTTTTTTAATAAAGAGAAGTACATTGTGATGAAACAAGACTAAAAAGGGCGCTCATCAGTTATTTTGGATAAAAAAAAAAATTATTTCCAGTCAATTTAAATTAGTTTTTGAAATACAGCAAAGTATTATTGAAAGAATTAAATTTAATATATTAACTTGAAAACTAAATTCATTTTAAAACTTAGTTATCTTGGAGGTCTCTAGACAAAAATTGTTCAATATCAGGGATAGAGCGTATGTGAATATAAATACAAAAGGTGGACATTGAGGTCAACGCCGAGCGGTGAAAGATTTTTTTAATGCTTGAAGGAAATCATCTGGCTTGAAAGACTTTCGCCGCTCAATTCTGATATCAATATCCATTTATATATACATACATACACACACACACACACACACACACATATATATATATATATATATATTAAAGAGAAGAGAGAAGGCGCAAACGTTTTTGGTTATCATGTGGATAGTTTAAATATATATTATAATTTATTTTACATATTTTTGCTACACGCGTTTCCGTTCTCGCGACCTTCATCAGGCAAAAAGTGGTTATTTCCACATTTTATTAAAAGGAATTAATTTTCCTTATGTTTTTCAATGTTCAATTACACAATTTTGTGTGTAGTAGTAATCAAAATTTTTCTTGGACCTGTGGCGAAAATATTCTTCTGCTTAAAGGGTAATAATACAATTAGGATTCGTCAGAGAAAGAGCGAAAGGAGGAAGTCTTTGCTCTTATCTTTTTATGACCTCTGTATTTTTTTAAACCTATCTGTGGGCTCTCTCGTCTCTTTAAAATAGATACTTTTCTTTCGTTGGAAAAACTATAATCTCTCCCTTAGATAGATAGATAGATAGATAGATAGATAGATAGATAGATGGACAGATAGATAGATAGATAGATAGATAGATAGATAGATAGATAGATAGATAGGGGGAGAGGGAGAGGAGGAGTTGGACGTAAACGAACCCAACAAGAGTTGACAGGTTGTAAAACCAGCAAACTTAATCTAACTTAATTTGTTCAAATCGAAATCAATCGTAACTAACAATTAATTTTTCCAGGCCAGTTCGATCCTGAATATCAGACGCAAGGTTAACAGAAAAACTTACCAAGGCTTAGAAAGTTTTACAGATATTGAAAGCGAAACACCTGCGGTAGAGGAATGTGTATTTGATTCATCTAAAAATAATTACAATGAGGATCAAGCTCATTGGGTAAGTTCACTATGATCATCATTTGATCATCTTATACAAGTCTAAGTTTCGTATAAATATCAAGTTATCTAACTGAACAGTTGTCAACTAGCTCGTGACGCCAGGGTTAGGACAGTGATAAGACGGACAGTCACTCGCTACGTGTCATTATTCTGGTATGGAAATGACAAAGCAGATTAAAGATCTATCTATCTATCTATCTATCTATCTATCTATCTATCTATCTATCTATCTATCTCCACTGATGATATCTATTCCAGTCTCTTAACTCTCTTCATTATCTATCTATCTATCTATCTATCTATCTATCTATCTATCTATCTATCTATCTAAGTATATTTTTATCTATCTATCTATTTTAATCCAATTTCTATATCTGCCTATCTACCTCGGTATCTTCATTATCTATCTATCTATCTATCTATCTATCTATCTATCTATCTATCTATCTATCTCGGACTGTTCATTCTTGCTCTGTCAATCTATCTACCTACATATTAGTGAGTTCATATCTATATATTTCTATCTATCTATCTATCTATCTATCTATCTATCTATCTATCTATCTATCTATTACTCAGTTTATCTCTCTGCGTCTCTGTCTGTCTCTCTCCTCTCTCTCTCTCTCTCTCTCTCTCTCTCTCTCTCTATATATATATATATATATATATATATATATATATATATTTATATATTACACAGTTCAGCTCAATACAATTATCATAGATTGTGGCCATGAAAACAAATTTACTCTTCTATTTGCTATTCCAGCAAAATTAATAGAAGTAATGGTTCAGGCAAATGATACGCAATTCACCATGGATTGAAACCAAGAAAACAAGTTCACAGTTGTAGCAAAATAGTCAGGCGAATCCGGACACTTCCCGCCCCACACGTATCAAAATACACATCGTTTTATCGATTCCAGTTTGTTTGTGTCTATATACATCAATATTTTATCACTAAACGTTGTTTTTAGTGGACACTTTTATTTTAGTAGACTCTCAGTTTGTTTATTAAAAAGTACATTTATTTGTTTTTTCGTCTAGCAGACGGAATATTCGAGAAATCTTACTAAAGAAAAGACTGCGCCCTCCGGTCGGATTCGAACCTGCGTTCAGCTTTGCAGGAGAAACGTCATTAGATCCGATATGAAAGTTATGAAATTTTAAGAATCCTGAAATTATTCGTGTTATTAATGCACTGTTCGGCGTCCGTGGCCGAGTCTGTTTAAACCGTATCTAACGTCTGTTTACTCTAGAATACTAACCATCAATTAGTTACACCACTACTAACCATGGGTATATCATACCCGATTTTGAAAATATCAAAAAAAATATTAAATATAAATCTTTATTTGAAAATATTTTACATACAGGCACTTCAAACTTTGTACTTTGACTTAACATTAATAGGAACTGAAAAACATTATTTAGGCAAGAAAATCAGGTACTGAAAATTGTAATTAATATTAGGAAAATTTGCGCTGGGTACTATATACCTATGGTTAGTGTTCTAGGGTTAATTATGCCCAGGAAGAGGTAAGGTTTCGAACCCTGCCAAAGAGTGTATATTTTTCATTAATAAGATTTGTCGGATATTCAGGCCGGTAGATGAAAATAAATAAATATACTGTTAAATAAATAAACGAAGCATTTACTCAAATACAAGTAACCACTAAAAATAATGTTTAGAGAGTGATAAGAATTCGTTTGATTAATAAAATTCCATTACTTATTTAGAAAAGACATCATTATATGCTTGTATTCTATACGTCGTCGTTGACAGCCAGCCCACCTTTATCCAATACATTTTACCCGACAAAGACATTTCGTTTTGACCCGACATTGGCAAATGTGGAACAAACTACCTTCACAGATAATAATATTTGGTTGAGATGTATCAGCTGACCCGATCCGAAATAATAAAGCTGGATTACAAAATAGTTCGTCATGTAGATAGGGTCTCTTCAGAAATTGCTTCACACGTCACGGAAGAGAAACTCAAAGCTACGCTCTTCCGCACTCTCTCTCTCTCTCTCTCTCTCTCTCTCTCTCTCTCTCTCTCTCCCATTCACTCTGTATCTCTTTCTCAAGCAAACACACACACACGCATAAACACAAACACACGAACGCACAAACACACACACACAAACACACACTCTCTCTCTCACTTCTTTTCTTTTCTTTCTTTCTGGCATGGATAAACAACATCAAAAGCTTTAATTTGCACATCATAAAAATACCTACCTGGCACTCCTTGTACTTTTTTGTAATCCTAGTATATCTTTCTCATGCATATCTATCTATCTATCTATCTATCTATCTATCTATCTATCTATCTATCTATCTGTCAGTCAGTCTCTATCTCTCTCACTATGTCTATCGATCTATCTGAATCTGTTCATATCTATCTATCTATCTATCTATCTATCTATCTATCTATCTATCTATCTATCTATCTCAATCTGTTCCTATCTATCTCAATCTGTTCCTATCTATCTATCTATCTATCTATCTATCTATCTATCTATCTATCTATCTATCTGTCAGTCTCTATCTCTCTCACTATGTCTATCGATCTATCTGAATCTATTCATATCTATCTATCTATCTATCTATCTATCTATCTATCTATCTCCCTTACTCTATTACCAGGGCAAATTTTCTTTATTGTTTCGTAAGATGACATTAAGTACTTTTAGCCTTAATTAACTTGACAGATAAATATCACTTTTGACTTTCAAATCTTGTGCATTTGTCGAAAATTTTAATAAAGATATATCAAAATCAGTTTATTTTGGTTTATTCGTTCTAATAATAAAAAATATTCAATATTTTCAATAGATGTTTCTATTTTATCTTAAGAAAAGTGAACATTTTTATCTAAACTTTTTAAAGAGATCTATTTGTGCAATTCACGGTGAAATTCATCTGAATGACGTCCGTTTCAAAAGTAGTTTGCCGTGTTTCAGAATAGAGATTACCAAAGTGTGAACAACATTGCAAAATAAATAGATTCCATATATCTTAAGCAAAAAACAAAACAAAACAAAGCAAACACCTTCTGGAGCCTATGTATGATTTCGTTCTTAGACATAATGTAAATTTCCATTTTCTTCGAAAATGGTGAAGAGCAAGAAACCCTGGGCTCAATGTGAAAAGACAAGAGATTGTGAACCAAAGCCAGCAAAAACCCCTAACCCTAATCATACCAAAGGCTGGTTGTCATTCAAAGTGTGTAGACGTCGGCCAGACTGTGTAGATGTCGGTCAGGTTTTTAAATAAGGGAACAAATATGGATTCGAATAAGTACTACCAATTCACGGTCGTAATCGATAAAAACTTCTGGTTTCAAGAGAAAAGGCATTATCTATCTATCTATCTATCTATCTATCTATCTATCTATCTATCTATCTATCTATCTCAATCTGTTCATATCTATCTATCTAATGCGTCTTTGTCCGTCATATCTATCTCAGCTTGTTTCTATCTATATATCTATGCGCTGTTATCGTTTTCATATCGGAAAATCTATCTCAGCCTATTTCTCTCTGTGTGTATGTGTCTAGTCTATCTATATATCTATCTATGCGTACCTATTTGTGTATCTATATATCTCAACCTGCCTCTATTCATTTCTTCCTTACATCCTCTCTCTCAATCTCTCTCTCTCTCTCTGTCTCTCTCTGTCAATCCCAGTTCACATCTATCTATCTATCTATCTATCTATCTATCTATCTATCATCTCAGTTTATTCACATCTGTCTATCTATTTATTTATGCGTCCTCGTCTGCACATATCTATGTATCCCATACAGAGAGAGAGAGAGAGAGAGAGAGAGAGAGAGAGAGAGAGAGAGAGAGAGAGAGTGAGAGAGAGAGAGAGGGAGAGAGAGAGAGAGAGAAAGGGAGGGAGAGGGAATTCTGTCATGAGTCAATAGTCTTCCTGTATCAGTTACGGTTAATATTTATTTTTGTCTTTAATTCTGCTCCGTATCCGACTATTACTGCAACTAGTACTACTAATTATTAGTATCGTTATTTAGTTACCAAAAATGGGATCCAGCCGGCGTCGGTGAAAAAAAAAAAGGCAGCTGGTGGCTTTTCATTCATCTCACATCCGTTTCCGTGGCCTAGAGGTTATCGGATGTTCATTAAACTTCTAAAAGTTTTGAAAGAGTAGAACCTTCGCGACTTTTGCCAAAATTCAACTCCCCCACCCCCACCATCCCGTACACCGAAGCCCCCACCACCACAAGTTGAAAATGGTTGTCGGGTTTAGACCGGCGAAAATGATGCTTTTTTTTTTTTTTTTAATCGAGGGGGAAATGTCAGTTGAAAATATCTCCTACATTGATTACTCTCGTCTTCATTAGTCGAGTGCAGCGCAGTTATCGTGGCTATCTGTCGCGCTTAATGACCCATATTGGTTTCTTGTGCCAGACTAAGTAAGCTTAATCAATATAGACAGGATATGCACTAAGACAGCTAGTCTCTCAAACATCCAGATCCAGAGATATTATTATTATGGATTACTTGTAATTGCATGCATGAGTCCCAGTATAAATAGTTATAAATAATTATTGACCGATTTTATCATTGTGATATTTTTGCATTATATCAAGTACTAGCAGTAGAGCCCGGCGTTGCCCGGGGATGTAACAGTAAGAGATAGATCAAGTATCGATCATCATAAAGACTGAAAAATAAAATTGACAAAGATTATTGTTTAAGGTTGACGGACACGCATGTCTTAATTAGTTTTTTTTGTTTTGTTTTTTTTACGAATTGGTCAAACCCAAACTCAAACAAAAACATTGTTTACAATCGTTATGAGTCTATCGATTGATGAATAGAAATTTATTATAAACAATTGTCTTGTAAATGGAATTTTTAAAGCATTCTGAATGTAAAAATAAAGAAAAAAATGTGCAAGACAATAAGAAACACTACCTGCCAAAAAAAAGTGAAATTTTGTTGAAATCGGTTGAAAAATGTGGGTAGTCTTTCTCTGTAATCTTTTACAATTTATGATTTTTACTTATTGAATACAATAAAAAAAATTGCATATTTTGCTTGTGGTGATTCATAATTAGAATTCTGATTTGAATATATTTTCCACACGTTGTTTCTAATACAAAAAATATTAACTTTATTTGGGTTTATTAATTTATTACAAGTACTGTGTTCTTTCCTTAATAATTATCATCTTCGAAATATTATTGTTTTTTTTGTCTATCAGATTTCTTACGTCGGCATTTTTAAATTATTTCTTAATACTTTCTTTTAAATATTGAATTAATTTCAAATAGAACCAATGCCTTATTGATCTGCCTTGTAACAAATTGCAAAGGGAATTGTAAAAACGGCCCTAAAGTACGTGGAATTATCTTTCCCTAAAGATAAAGAATTATCCGATTTTTCGATTCGTACAATCAGTAGAGATAGTTAGATTATTGTTTAGGTTGACGGACACGCATGTCTTAGTTTTTTTTTTACGAATTGGTCAAACCCAAACTCAAACAAAAACATTGTTTTCAATCGTTATGATGAGTCCTCCGATTGAATAGAATTAGATTAGAATTTTATTATAAACAATTGTCTTGTAAATGGAATCTTTAAAGCATTCTGAATGTATAAATAAAGAAAAAAGTGTGCAAGACAATAAGAAACACTACCTGCCAAAAAAAAAAAGTGGATGTTTGTTTTATCGGCTGAAAAATGTAAGAAATCCGATCCCATATATAAAGGAACACACACACACACAAACAACCTGGGTTTTTTTTAACCCGATGTGAGTTGTCCCCCTTTCATTCTCACGATGTGTCTTAATCGTGTTTTCAAATTGATTTTGTTAAAAAACAATTGTGTTTTCCCATTTTCGGCGCCGTTAGAACCACCAAAAAGTAATTTTATGTAGTCCTTTGAAGTTTTGTTGAAGTCGGCTAAAAAATGTAGGAAATCCGATCCAATATATAAACGTTACAGACACACACACACACACACACACACACACACACACACACACACACACAATCTGCGTTTTATAATAAGTAAGATTAAGAATATAGTAAATAGGGTCTGTTGGAGGAGAGAGTTATCAATGATAATCTTATGTCTTTGAATCCGCGGTTAGCTACCTTTTACCCTCTCTCATTTTTATATTTTTAATGTCCTTTTTATCACATAAAAGTTGGTGAGGCGAGAGCAAATTTTCATTCCGAAAATGCGCGCCAGAGAAAAAAAAATTGGGGAATCGAAGAAGTCCTATGGGAAGCCAAAGTAAAAAAGCGTTATAAAAGTAACAACAAACGAACAGGAATGCGTTGAGGGCCACTGATATAAAATCATAACTCTTAGTTTTTGTTTCGAGGAAAATAACATTGTAAAATCCTGAAGAACATTTCTGATGTTAACCTGGGCACAGTATGAGCATGCGCGGCGATTAGTAGACATTCGGATAACATTTTCAGTGTATTTGTTCATTTTGTGACGTAATAACACTTATTGATATTTCGTGATCACGGTGAATTTTAAGTGCTTTGATAATTTTTCAGTTTGATCTTTGAGATAAGAAAATTGTCAATATACATTAAAACGAGAACAATAGATCGAGAGAAAAAAATCCATCTACACTAATAATTCGAATGTTTCTTGTTTAATTTTCACATAAGGAATTCTCAGTATCGATGGTGTTTGGTTTTCGAACGCCTGTCCTCATTTTCAAGTACATTGACATTTTCTTATGTGAAAATTAAACTAAAAAACAAACAAAAATAAAAAATAAAAAAAAATAAACATTCGTTTAGTTTACTTGCTGGTATCAAACACTAGAAAACAGGTTCAAAGTATTTGTGCTTTCGGGGACACATCTACAGTTAGCTCGATTCCAAAGCTGGCTATCCATGTCCCAGCCAAAGGTAGGGCTTTTGTATTCTGCTTAATCATTTTAATCTTAATTTTTCTCTTAGTTAAAAAGATATTCTTATGAAGGGACTTCTAACCGCGGCATCTTTCCTTGTGGTTCCAACTTCGTTCATCTCACTATATATACCGTTGGGCAAATTAATTGATGCAAAACGAATAATTCCGTCATTATTTACTTTTGTTCGTATTTTTCCAATGAAACATGATCCACTGCACATGTTAGTACTTCATGTGTCCATTCCACAAAGTCTTTCTTTGCAGATTGACCACAGATTCTCGATTGGATTTAAACCAGGTGAGTTTCCAGGCCAGTCTATAGTACATTGATTTACTCACTGGTAAGGTTTGCCAGTGTGTTCGTGCAGCGTTACAATTTTCGTACGCTTCCTTGGAGTAACGTCCATCGCAAACAATGGCCGTAGGACAACTAATCGACAGTCGAAACAATAGTGTCTATATAATAATATATAATTTATAGTGATAAAAATCTGATGGAATCACGGATGACACGTTATTTTTCAAGGCCAAACAAATTTCATCATACATCCCAAAAATAGATTCATATTACGGCACACCACTGCAAATGACCTAATCTGAGGAAAAAATAGAAATCGATTACACCCTGTTTCTCCAGTGGGTACAAAAATTGATCGTATGGTGAAAGAAAGGAAACTAAAGCAGTTGTTTCAAATAATTGACACAAGGGTCTACACACACACAAAAGAAAAGTAATTACATTTATTATTATGGTAATTTACCTCCATACACATGGACGCTCCCAGTTATAAATAGGAGCAGGTACTACCTTTTAGAGAGGGAAGTTTCCAGCAGTCAGCTCTGACAGCCGGACCGAACATTCTTGCTGTAACACTCTCGTTTGTATATGTTTGTATTACTGTCTCTGTTAATATATTTGTTTAACTCAATTCCTCTATTTGTGTTTTTATTTTTGGCCATAAAAAGGCCACAACAATTTACAATGTCAACATATTTCTTGCTGTTATCATAACATTTCAGTCGTTGTGGTCTCGGGGCTTCTTCAGGTTCCCCAGCTTCGTAAAAATCAACTGGCTGTTGATGCAGCCAATTCCATACAGCAATTTTCATTTCTTCATCATCACCTGATTTAGCAGCCTCAGACGTCCAGTTCTTTGCACTAATGATAGAGGCGCTGAGGGGCAAACTTTATGGATGTGATGAAGAAGTGAAAACTGCCCAAAGAAAATGGCTACATCAGTAGCCAGCCCAGTCTTACAAAGCTGCGATACATGCCCTTATTCATAGCTGGAACACTGCCATTGAAAGGGGCGGTGACTGAGAAGTTGGGATGTGAATCTGTGATGTATAGCTATATCTTGGTGTAAAATATGCATGATTGTGTTCATTATGTCTTATATAATAAAACAAATTGCATTATCTGTCTATATTTCTGAGGTGAGGTATTGTAAGTACAACGGCTGAAAACCTCGCGAATGTGATAATACAAATGAAGACAATAGTCCGAACAGTGTAACAACCGGGTGTAAAAACAAAATTAACCAAAGCTTTTCAGATAAGACAGTTAGATATAGTGACATCTTTGTCGGAAGAATCACAGAAAAAATTCAGCTAGAAAGAGAAAAAACAATGACCTAAATATGTATGCATAGATAGATAGATATGAACAAACTGAGATAAATAGATAGATATAACGATATATAATTTTATATATCATGTCCAGTTAACTGATGTTTCTGCCACATTTAGGGATTGTGTTTTTTTTTTATTACTAACCCTATTTTGTTTTGTTTTTATGTAAATAAGATTAAATCATATTGTAAATAATCATTGGTTTTTTTTTAATTGTTGTTTTCCCCTCCCCCACAGACTTTGAAATGTACATATGGGGACTAGTTAAGATTTCATAGAGAATTTGAGGTATTATGGTGGACGCAGTAAGAAAGGTAGGAGTGAATGTGTTGTTTTGGTGATAGGAATATTGTTGAAATGATTGGGTCCGTGTCTGTGACTAGCTAAGTTTAGAATTAAGACAGAAGAAAACCGTCCTTCCCCAAACCCCCTTTTAGGCCTTGTGCCACATTTTGTACTTTTGTACGAATAAATAACGATATATATCAAGAAACAGTATTTAGAAAAATATGACAAACTGGAAAGGTTTTTTGTGTGACGCGTCTCATCTGTTTTTTGTTGACGTTGCCACGTCTACACATGCGTATGAAACAAGAGACACAAGTTGTTTCAAAAATTTTGAAGATATATTTTTGAGAGAATTTTTTTTTTCTCAATCAAACCGAAATCATCTGTATTCTTTATTTCTTTCTCTCTCCATCACCTTTGTCCCTGACTATCTCACATTGTGACAATATAAAATCTACCAAGAATGGTGATATATTGTAAGAGCCGCAAATTTATTGTGGCTGGCCTAGCGATCAAGGCACTTTTCAGACATTTTCAGCTCAGTGGATTATTTTCTCTTTTAATCAAATTAGCATTTCCTATATCAAAATTGTGGTCCATTTTGTTACGGTGAACAACCAATGTGTTTTGTGTGTTTTTATTTAAAATGTCCTTTTTGTGTTCATATAGTTTCTTGTTTAAACTTCTTGAGGTTTCTCCAATATATCCATTCAGGCAAATTCCTTCATGTGATAGAGTAAATTCCTACTTCATGTTTTGGCTGGTTGTTTTGTTTTTTTATTCATTAAGTCTTTGTTTTGGATGTAGTTGTGACAAATTTTATGTTGAGTTTAGATAAATTCTTTTCAGTTGTAGTTGTGATAGAATTAATGGGTAGAATAATATATTTTCTTGATACGTTATACTGTGAGGAAGGACAGCTCTTCTATTTTGGAATATTTTATGAGCCTTTCATTTCGCATTGAGAATGAAATAGTAAAGGGAATTGGTTTTGATAGATAGATAGATAGATAGATAGATAGATAGATAGATAGAAAATGAACAAATTGCGATAAAAAAATAGATAAATAATGAACGAATAGAGATAGGTAAGGAACAAATTTCGATAGATAATGAAAGAATTGAGGTAGATGATGAACAAAGATAGATAGATAGATAGATATCAAGATAGATAGATAGATAGATAGATATGAACAGACAGAGAAAGATATCAAGATAGATAGATAGCTAGATAGATATACAAAATGAACAAATTGCGATAGATAAATAGATATTGAACGAATTGAGATAGACAACGAATAAATTTAGACAGATAGATAGATACATAGATATGAACAGACTGAGATAGATAGATAGATAGATAGATAGATAGATAGATAGATAGATAGAAAATGAACAAATTGCGATAAAAAAATAGATAAATAATGAACGAATAGAGATAGGTAGGAACAAATTTCGATAGATAATGAAAGAATTGAGGTAGATGATGAACAAAGATAGATAGATAGATAGATATCAAGATAGATAGATAGATAGATGAATATGAACAGACAGAGAAAGATATCAAGATAGATAGATAGATATACAAAATGAACAAATTGCGATAGATAAATAGATATTGAACGAATTGAGATAGACAACGAATAAATTTAGACAGATAGATAGATACATAGATATGAACAGACTGAGATAGATAGATAGATAGATAGATAGATAGATAGATAGATATACAAAATGAACAAATTGCGATAGATAAATAGATATTGAACGAATTGAGATAGACAACGAATAAATTTAGACAGATAGATAGATACATAGATATGGGAACAGACTGAGATAGATAGATAGATAGATAGATAGATAGCTAGATAGATATACAAAATGAACAAATGCGATAGATAAATAGAGATTGAACGATAGATAGACAACGAATAAATTTAGACAGATAGATAGATACATAGATATGAACAGACTGAGATAGATAGATAGATAGATAGATAGATAGATAGATAGATATACAAAATGAGATAGATAGATAAATAGATATTGAACGAATTGAGATAGACAACGAATAAATTTAGACAGATAGAGATAGATAGATAGAACAGATGAGATAGATAGATATCAAGATAGATAGATAGATAGATAGATATACAAAATGAACAAATTGGGATAGATAAATAGATATTGAACGAATTGAGATAGACAACGAATAAATTTAGACAGATAGATAGATACATAGATATGAACAGATGAGATAGATAGATAGATAGATAGATAGATAGATAGATAGATAGATAGATAGAAATAGATGAGATGATAGATAGATAGATAGATAGATAGATAGATAGATGAACAGACTGAGAAAGATATTAAGATAAATAGATAGCTAGAGAGATAGATATACAAAATGAACAAATTGCGATAGATAGATAATGAACAAATTGAGATAGATATGACAGACTGTAATAGATAGATTGACATGAACAGACTGATATATATATATATATATATATATATATATATATATATATATATATATATATATATATATAAACAGACGCTAAAAATGTAGCAATATTTATATGTTTGAAGTGTTTAATATCAGAAATAGAATATATGTAAATACAAAAGCGGCGACTGTCTGATTCATGCATACATGCATTATATGTGGGGAAGATAACGGTTAACGCTAGGCTTGAACAGTTTAAAATTGTCGTGAAGCATCCTCTTGGGAGTCGGTTCTACAAAGCAGTAGTCCATATCTGAATAGAGGTAAAGTTCAGTCAAATTTCAAAAAACGCTAAATAATAGGAAGAACTGTGCTAAAAAAAATTCAAACACGGCGGACAAATGTAAACGATTTAATCCTATATATACATTTCAAGATAAGTAAAACTACCTATATATATATATATATATATATATATATATATATATATATATATATATATATATATATATATATAGGCAGTTTTACTTATCTTGAAATGCGCTGTAAGTGATAAATGGTTTGGCCTTTTTTTTCGTGCATGCTTGACTGGTATTTAGTAGTAGATCTTATATAAGAGAGGGTTTTTTTTTTACAGACATGTGTGGCGGGAAATGGGATAAGCGCTATTTGCCTGTCATCTTAATAAAGGTGGGGGCAGTTTAGAATAGGGATAGCTTTTCATAAATCAAAGGCAGAAGATACTGAAAAAAAATCTCTGAAAACGTAGCACGTCTGACCTAAATAAGTATGCATGCATAGATAGATAGATAGATAGATAGATAGGAACAGACTGCGACAGATAATTATGAACAGGCTGAGCTAGCTAGCTTGCTTGATAGATAGATAGATAGATAGATAGGATAATTATGAACAGACTGATCTAGCTAGAGAGATAGATAATGAACAAATTGCGATAGATAGATAGATAGGTATGAGCAAATACATAGATAGATAATGCACAAATTGCGATAGACAGATAGAGTGATAGATAGATATGAAAAGATAGATAGATATGAAAGGATAAATAGATAGATAGATAGATAGATAGATACATAGATAGATCTGAAAAGATAGATAGATAGATGATGCCGTTTTTAAACTGTTTCGAATTTTACTGTCAGTTTATATTTCTTAACGTTTAACGCTTTATATATATATATATATATATATATATATATATATATATTGATATAATTTGACATGTTCCGTCTATGATCACTAAATCATTATTATCTAAAAAAATTCTTTCAATCTAAATAAATTAACTCTGACTTTAAATAACCTACAAAATGTTGATAAGCCCAAAAGTACTAATCAAGTTGACACTACTATGAATACTTTGTAAAATACCACCATCCATATCGGATGTCAGATTAAAAATGTATTAAAAATAGGTAAAAATATATTAAAAATGTGCAAAAATGTATTAAAATATATTAAAAATATGTAAAAATTGCTTTTTTTATCTGTCAATATCTCTGAGATGAGGTATTATGATTATTTACATTATTTATATTATTCGGACTGTTATCCTCATCTTCATTGCCATATTCACAAGGACACATGGCCCAGTGGATAAAGACGTTGGTTAGATCCAGTGACTAGCTTCTAGTGATATAATGGCTGTCTATATCTCTGAGATGAGGTATTATGATAATTCATATTATTTACATTATTCGGACTGCTATCCTCATCTTCATTGTCATATTCACAACGTTTCGGCTGGATAAAGGCGCTGGTTAGATCCAGTGACTGGACCCAAATAGTTGTGAGTTCAATATCAGTCTACAGCGGTGGTGAAGCAAAAGTTGAGTTAAAGGGAAATAACTCTGATATCCGGAAGAGACATGTCACATGGAACTAAAACAATCTACCCCGGTGAACGAAATAAAGGAGTTGGTTCGAAATTCCAATCACATGAAGAAAGCCGGAGTGTACAACGGCCGTAACGTTGTGAATGTGGCAATGAAGATGATGATAACAGTCCGAATAATGTAAATAATTACCAGCATGATAAATGAAAATATATGAACTGTAAACAACACAGATAATGTAGCATATTTTATGCAAAGCTAATACTTTAATCTAAACAAATATTATAACCAAGCTCTCCCACCACCACCGACAACAACAACAAATAAAACAAAATATCTAGATATGGCGTCACACAACGTCAGTCACCAGGAAAATCCGTGGTCGATCCCTACAGCGAGAGTTGGTCGCCCCGATCCTCAATTCCACCCTGCCCACGTTGTGTTTTTTTTAGATCACAAGGTGGGTAAAGGCGGAGTTATATACCCAATGTTGTTGATCCGGCTGCTTTGGCGAGATGACGCCACAAGGAACAAACTTTTTACTCCTTATTTATTATTGATTACTTTATTATTTGTTGTTGTTTATTTACTTAATTTGTTCAGATTTTTTGTTTCTTTCATCTATTTTATTACTTAATCATTTATTGTTGATTATTATTATAATTATATTTACTTGTGTTTCTGTGTGCATTCATAGATTGCTAATTTGTTTATTATTTACTTATGTTGTATTATGAGTAGAAAGATCTACTGTATTATTCTGTGATTGGATAGGCGCTAATCGTTATATTTCAAGAATATTCTAGAGGTTATTGAATAGGAATAATTGCGCATCTAAATGCAGATATTTGCAGCTATTTTATAGCGTTACTTGTTAATGTTTCACTCTTTATTTATTACTAATTAATTATTTGTTGTTGATTATTATTATTACATTTATTTGTGTTTATGTGTGTATTCGTAGTTTATTAATTTGTTTATTAATTACTTATGAGGGTTAGCTGAAAAGTTCATAAGCAGACCAAGATACTATCATGGAGTGTGACCAAATGACAGTCCACACACTTCTTCAATCAATGTTGCAGTACTTGCATTTACTTGGTGAAGGAGTTTTTATCCTCTTGATAAAAAAATTCAACAGCAGCAGATATAACGTCATCATCACTGCAATACTGGTTCCCAAGCAAGTGTTTTTTTCATGTTGGGAAACAGATTATAGTCAAATCATGAGAACAGGGTGGGTGATCAATCAAAACAACAGCCACGCATAGAAGTCATTGAATCTATGAAGGACTTGTGTGAAGTAGCATTGTCCTGATGAAACAAAAGTTAAAAGTAAATAACCAACGATGAATACCTTGTAAAATTCTACCATGAAAAATGCCAATATATGAACTTGATGTAACTCCCATGCGTGACTACACTATCGGTAGTAACTAACTATAAATATCTGTAAAACTACAGAGTCTAGCTAGGATCTGTTATTCAGTTCTTAGCTGTTGTCGAACTCTCTGCCTTCGGGCAGAGAGGAACCCGGACAAGGCTATGCCGAAGGGCAGAGTTGTTAGACATTTTCATGACGGTATAGAATCCAGAGGTTGGCAGTGAATATTTCGGAGACAGTAGGAAAGCGTAATGCAGGTTCGCAGTGGATATCGCAGCAAAGTAGCAGAGCGAAGTTCTTCCGTCTGTCCTGTTCGCCGGACAAGTTGCCTCTGGTCATTCCAGTAGCAAAACAAAGATGGCCGCCTTTATACACGACGGATACAGTGGTGTGCGGTTTCTGATTGGTCAACCTTCTATTGGTCGACTATAAAGGGAAATAAGTCATTTTGACTCGCTCACTAGTTATATACGATATATACCCAAAAAACCGTAACAAGAGTCTCGTCCGGGGAGGTAGACAGACCCGAATTCGTTTATGGAGGGTCTACGGGGATTTTTAGCCGAGCCTACGGGCTCGGGAAGCCCACATTAAATTCGGCCTTGTGACCTCGTGGGGCAGTTGCTAGATACCGTCTAGTTAGGATCTGTTATTCAGCTCTTAGCAGTTATCAAACTCTCTGCCTTCGGGCAGAGAAGAATCCGGACGAGCCTATGCCGAATGTCTCGTCCGGGGAGGTAGACAAACCCGAACTAGTTTATGCGGGGTTACGGGGAATTTTGGGCCGAGCCTACGGGCTCGGATTGCCACACATTAAATTCGGCCTTGTGCCACATCATACCACGTGTGGACGCTGGTAAATATTTCAAGCTGGTGTCGAACCCTCTGCCTTCGGGCAGAGAGGAACACGGATGAGGCTATGGTAGAAAGACCTGAACCCGTTTATGCGGGGTTTACGGGGAATTTTTAGCCAAGCCTACGGGATCGGATTGTCCCACATTATATTCGGCCTTGTGCCACATCCTACCCAGTGGGGAGGTTGATAAATATTACTAGCTGGGATCTGTTGGGTACGAGAGACTTACGCGAGAACTATCAACCTTCCAATAGTAGCACTCACTACTGGATTGTCTTGCGACGACCTTGTGCATAACTGTTACCTTTATTCTTATTGTACTGGTTTTTACAATAAACCATTACTTATTTTATCCACCATGGTTTTCAAGTATATATTCCTGTTAGCACATAATATAACAGAACTATATACAACACAGATAACGTAACATACTTTATGCAAAGCCAACATTTTAAACTAAACAAATAATGTAACCAACCCCGGCCTCAAAATAAAATAAAATAAAGAAAATAGATAAACCTTTTAAATAAATCAATCAAATCAATAATAATCAGTTGCACATATAAACACAATTAATTTCATAATAATAATAACGATAATCAACAACAAATAATAAAGTAGTCAGTAATAACTAAACGATAAAAAGTTATCAGCCAACACTAGAAAATAACTACAAATAAACATATTCGGGCCCACAATCATTTCTATTCAATAGTTCCGAGAATAACTTGAAATATAACAGTTACTGCCCACCGTCAGGATAATACAATAGATCTTACTACCCATAATGCACCACTGACTATCATATATAAATAGTCGAGACAAAAAACAACACACATAACCTGAAGATTACGTTGAAGTATGAAACAGTCGCCGCTTTGGGTTGACCTCAGTATTCACTTTTATATTTATAGTCATAGAAACACGAACACAAATTCTTACTCTCTTACTTAAAAACTAAAAGCGAATACATTTGTAAAATACCGCTACAAATCATGCAAATATATACGCAGATAAAGTAACATACCTTAGATAAAGCCAATACCTTAACCTGAACAAATAAAATAACCAATGGCTGAGAAAAAAAAATAAAATAAAAAGTAAACAAAAATTTTAAATAAATAAATAAACTAATTAAGTAAAAAATAAACAAATTAACAAACTAAAAATGTACACATAAACACAAGTAAGTGTAATAATAATGATAGTGATAATAATATAATCAACAACTAATAATTAAGTTATCAATAAAAAAACGAGTGAACAGTTAACAATAGTATAAAATGGCTAACCATATTCGGATCGACGATTATTCTTGCTCGATAGGCGCAAGACTGTACCGCCCACCCAATATCTGTTCGGATGATACAATAGACTCTGCTAACTATATTGCACCAATGACCAGCATATATAAATAGTCGTTTCAGTTTTCACTTTACATACGCATTATCTCTGATATTGAGCACTTTTACCCATAAATGCAGTATACCTTAAATCTATCTATCTATCTATCTATCTATCTATCTATATATATAATGAAATGGATTAAGTCCGACAATTATCTTAATATATTTATTGTTTATACGTTATTTTGATAGATGCAAATATTTAAGTAAATGTTATGTTTATAATAAACAGTATTAACAAAATTTACCGGTTTGAATATCCAAGAAATTTCATAGAAAACATGCGTACTCCGACAGGAATCGAACCTTTATTCTACACAGAACCGCCATATAGCCTAACGTGCTATCCCATTTAGCTACAGAGGAAGTTGGTTAGCAAGTTTGTAGTTCAAAAACAGTAATTTAAATTTGCTAACAAGACGCTTTGTAGCTAAACGGTATAGCACGTCAGCCTATATCGCGGTACCATGTATAATATAGGTTTGAATCCTGTCGGAGAACACATATTTTCTTAGGAATTTCTCTAACATTCAGGCCGGTAAATGTTGTTAATACTATTTATTATAAACAGAACATTTACTTAAATATTTGTATATATAAAAATAACGTATAAACAATATAATGTATATGTGTGTGTGTATTACGTTCACTCCAGCTCACAAGTGGAACTCGTATATGCAGCACTTTGTTAAAGATACTAGAAAATTATCATTTTATTCTATCCCTTAAGCAGTTATCTAACTCCTGCTATACTCTACCTTTACAAGAGTCAGATTAGAACAAAAATGGAGTATTGCTGCCGTATGTAGGCTGGAGCTGTTTCATCCTCACTTTTCCAACCTTGAACTGTTTGCCTGGTCTTTACTCACAAGACCAATTATTTATTTCCCACTCTG